CCCCATCTACTTATCAACGTGGACCCCGCTAGCAGACCCTTTACCCCCCCCTACCCCCCCTTATTTCTACATTGGACACCCTAGAGCACCTTTACCCTCCCCACATCCATTCTATTTCCCTCACACGTGGAAAACCGTAGGGGAAACCCCTTTTACCCCCCCCATTTCTTTTCTACTTCTAACGTGGAACCGCTAGCGGACACCTCTACCCTCCGCCCCCCACTTCCGCTCTATCTTCTCACACAACGCTTGGACACTACCCTCCCCACTTTGCTAGCACGTGGGACTAGCGGGACACCTCTACCCTCCGCCCCACGTTCCGCTCTTACTTCTCACATGTGGACACTGCTAGCATAACACCTCTAAACCCTCCCACCCACTTCCTGCTTCTATTTTCTCTCACACGTGGACACCGCTAGCAGACGACCCTCTACCCTCCTCCACTTCCCATCTACTTCTCACACGTGGACACTGCTAGCAGGACACCTTTACCCTCCCCACTTCTGCTCTACTCCCTCACACATGGACACTGCTAGCAGACACCTTTACCCTCCCCCCACTTCCGCTCTACATCTCACATTGTGCACAGAGCTTAGCAGACACCTTTACCCCTCCCCCACCTGCCCATCTACTTTATCACACGTGGACACCGCTAGCAGACACCTTTACCCTCCCCTACCTCCGCTCTACTTCTCACATATGGACATTCCGCTAGAGTAGCAACCTTTACCCTCCCTACATCCATTCTACTTCTCACACGTTGGACACCGCTATAGACTCCTTTACCCTCCCCCCACTTCTGTTCTACTTCTCACACGTGGACACCACTAGCAGACACCTTTACCCTCCCCACTTCTGCTCTACTTCTCACACGTGGGGACACTGCTAGCAGACACCTTTACCCTCCCCCACTTCCTCACATGTGGTACACACTGCTAGCAGACACCCTCAAACCCCACTTCATCCAATGGAGATCCCATTACTCCATCTTCTCTATGCAGATTTGACCCAGTCATTATCATCCCTATACTCCAACTGTTGAAGGGCCCCCATCTATAGCCGGCAGAAGATGAACGCTCTCCTTGATCTCCATATACTGTATATCCATCGGTTAACTCAGAGATGCTCCCACTTTCCATTAGCCAATCCCTGCTCCTCATCCCTCCACACCCGCCCCATATTACAGTCCAGGCGTGTGCAGTCCCCGGGGAGTGCTGCTGTAGCTGTGTGAAGCCTGAATGTCCCAGTAGGAGGAGTTCTGCCCGCAGTGTGAGCTGCACTCCCTGGAGGACCCCTGTTCCAGTCTATGCTGCACCACCCCCAGCTTCATGATTGGTCTTCCACTGCCTCATTGTCTGATATCAATTGTCCGTGTATTGCTACTAATGTTGGGATTTCTGCTACAAATCTGAACTAGGAATAGAGAAAGAGGAGAAAGGATGGCGCTCTACTGCCTGCTCTCTGTGCTTTCCATCCCCCATCAACCAATCACCATGGAAATGATCAGATCAATGAAACGTTTGTCATAGACAGACCATCATGTGCCGATCATATACACAGACATTTGTATCACACGGGACAACATACAAGAAGAAACATGTATGGAGAAAGACACGGGAAAGTCCAAATATGTGCATTCACCAATCACTCCTTCATTCCCGGTATACACACAATTCCATTGCTTCCATGTGTACACCATCAGTCACTCTTCTAGAATTGGGACAATTTTATTAACCACCCACCTCTTCAGTGATCACCCCCCACCCATGCAAGTATTGTCCTCACCTACAACTGTGGGGCCTAATGAGTGCTTGGAACATTTGTCCACAAAGTATTAATAATAGACCTCCAAGTGTTTGTGAAATCTCCCAAGACAAAAATGTACTCAGCCAATCACAGGGCAGGAAACTCCATTTTTTATTCTTCTCCTGCCATCAATGGCCAACCCGGTCCCACACTTCATCCATGTCTTTGGGGACCTCTGATCTCCTTATGGACTGTTTCTTCCATGATGATCAGCCATGGGAGTATATCTGAGGTGTATATCAGGGTGTGCTTCTTCCCCACATGAGAGCTGGATGTCCAGCAACATTCATCTAGAAAGACATTTCCCGCACTCTCAAGGCACTAATACACCTCCAGGGTTGTGTGGGACCCCTGATGTACAGGAAGACAGGACTTCAGTGAGGAACATTTCCCTCACTGAAGAAGTAGAAACAGGCTTCTCCCCCCTGTGCAATCTCTGATGTTTGTAAAAGACTGGCCTTCACTGAAAAAAATTTACCGCACTCAGGACAGGGAAAATGGCTCTTCTCTACCCCCGTGTGAGATTGCTGATGTTTGTAAAGAATGGATTTCCGTGAAAAACATTTCCCACACTCAGGACAGGAATACGGCTTCTCTCTTCTGTGTGAGTTCTTTTATGCTCATTAAGATTGGCATTTTAAAACGGAAACATTTTCCCGCACTCAGTGACAGGAATATGGCTTTTCCCCCTGTGTAGAGATCTCTGATGTAACGGTAAGGCTGGGATTTCTGTGGAAAACATTTCCCGCACTCAAGGCAGGAATACGGCTTTTTCTCCTGTGTGAATTCTTTTATGTTCATTAAAATAGCAATTAAAACGGAAACATTTCCCGCACTCAGTACAGGAATATCAACCGGCTTTTTCTGTGTGAGATCTCTGATGAAACGATAAGCTGGGATTTCTGTGAAAAACATTTCCTGCACTCAGGACAGGAATACGGTTTCTCTCCTGTGTGAGTTATTTTATGCTCATTAAGATGGCATCTAAAACGGAAAACATTCCCACACTCAGGACAGGAGAACGGCTTATCTCCCATTTGAGATCTCTGATGTCTGACAAGATTGGATTTCTGTGAAAAACATTTTCCGCACCCAGGACAGGAATACGGCTTCTCACCTGTGTGTGAGATCTTTTATGCACGTTAAGTTGGTATCTAGCATGGAAACACATCCCGCACTCAGTACAGGAGAAGCTCTTCCCTGTTGGAACGGCCGGCCCGGTCCTGCACAGTCTGAAGTTCCTCAGGATACAAGGAATCCGATGGTCCATCTACACTGGGTGGTGCCGGATGGACATTGGAGGGAGCCGGGTTTTCTCCTGGACTATACAGTGTGATGTCCTCATCTTCTTCAGGGCAAGAATGCGGCTTCTCACCTCTGTGAGATCTTTCATGCTCATTAAGTTTGGATTTATAATGGAAACATTTCCCGCACTCAGTACAGGAATATGGCTTCTCTAGCTGTGTGAAGCCTTTGATGTGTTTTTAAGATTAGACTTTTGTGAAAAACATTTTCCGCACTCAGGACAGGAATACGGCTTCTCCCCCGTGTGAGATCTGTTATGCTCATTAAGATGGAATTTAGAAGGGAAACATTTCCCGCACTCAGTACAGGAGAAGCTCCTCCCTGTTGGAAGGCCGGCCCGTCCCGCACAGTCTGAGATTCCTCAGGATACGAGGAATCCGATGGTCCATCTACACTGGGTGGTGCCGGGATGGACATTGGAGGGAGCCGGGTTTTCTCCTGGACTATACTGTGTGATGTCCTCATCTTCTACTTTCCAGTCTGGAGACAAAGTGAGACAATCCTCGGAGGTTTTTCCTCATCTCCCCGGCCATGGACTAAAATACAAAGACAAAGAGGATTACTAGACAGGAGCTGATTGGTTCCCCCAAACCAGGACTCCGCCCACATCAGGCAGCTTGGTCTCTGAGGAGCTTACAATTCCACCCTCAAGGGAACTAGGAAATGGCTCCTCTGATCTCCTACCAGGTCATTTCTTTATTCATGGACCCTTAGTCAGAGAGTGAGGAAACAACCAGAACTGTCTTTTATAGGAGGGACAGTGATGAGGGGATTATAGGACGAGGGTCCCCCACCCCCTCATATCACTCATCCGCCATCTTCCCAACACAAGAAGTACTGCACTTCCTTATTTAGTCCATGATTTAGTCATGAAGAACAGCGGGGCTGAGCCCCACCAGAGGTCAGAGAGTGAGGATGGGGGGAGAACAACCAAGATGAAGACTGGACTGATCCTGAAGACCACCATCATTGGGGTATTGACTCCTCCCTCATTATCACTTTCTGTTTAAGGGTCCAAAGTTGGAGGGTGTTATCACATTATTATCACCATGTAAAAAGTCTGTGCTCCAATCACATCATCCGATATAAAATGTCCAGCTGGGAGGAAATGGGGGGGGAACAAAGGAGAATCCATATTATGTGTATATATAGCAGTGGGGGAGAGCAGAAGTCAGGACTATGGAATGTACAACATAGAGTATATATAGTGCAGGGTCAGGAGTATGTAATGTACAACATAGAGTATATAGTGCAGGGGTCAGGAGTATGTAATGTACAACATAGAGTATACAGTGCAGGGGTCAGGAGTATGTAATGTACAACATAGAGTATATAGTGCAGGGGTCAGGAGTATGTAATGTACAACATAGAGTATATAGTGCAGGGGTCAGGAGTATGTAATGTACAACAGAGAGTATATAGTGCAGGGGTCAGGAGTATGTAATGTACAACATAGAGTATATAGTGCAGGGGTCAGGAGGATGTAATGTACAACATAGAGTATATAGTGCAGGGGTCAGGAGTATGTAATGTACAATATAGAGTATATAGTGCAGAAGTCAGGACTATGGAATGTACAACATAGAGTATATAGTGCAGGGGTCAGGGAGTATGTAATGTACAACATAGAGTATACAGTGCAGGGGTCAGGAGTATGTAATGTACAACATAGAGTATATAGTGCAGGGGTCAGGAGTATGTAATGTACAACATAGAGTATATAGTGCAGGGGTCAGGAGTATGTAATGTACAACAGAGTATATAGTGCAGGGGTCAGGAGTATGTAATGTACAACATAGAGATATATAGTGCAGGGGTCAGGAGGATGTAATGTACAACATGGAGTATATAGTGCGGGGGTCAGGAGTATGTAATGTACAACATGGAGTATATAGTGCAGGGGTCAGGAGTATGTAATGTGCAACATAGAGTATATAGTGCAGGGGGTCAGGAGAATGGAATGTGCAACATAGAGTATATAGTGCAGGGGTCAGGAGTATGTAATGTGCAACATAGAGTATATAGTGCAGGGGTCAGGAGAATGGAATGTGCAACATAGAGTATATAGTGCAGGGGTTTCAGGAGGATGTAATGTACAACATAGAGTATATAGTGCAGGGGTCAGGAGGATGTAATGTACAACATAGAGTATTATAGTGCAGGAATCAGGAGTATGTAATGTACAATATGGTCAGGACTCATAATATTGGTATTTTCAGTAATCAGTGGAAGATTAAATGTTTACTACTGTAGACAAGTTGCAGAGATCCCACACCGCTGCCCTCCCATCTCCTGAGACTGCACTCAGTGACTTGGGTCTGAGACACTACAGACATATCCCTCCACCCGGCACAGACAGCAGACAACAGAGCAAGTAACCCTGGGAGAAATGTTCTGTCAGAGATCTTACCCGGGCATGAGGAAGAGGACCCACAGATTAGGTCCCAGATAACTCAACATCTATGGTGAAATGAGCATTGTGTTGCCAGCTGAACCCCAGAACCTCCATAAATCCAGTCTAGATACATAAATTGTGTCTGCAGCACAGAGAAGGAAGATTATCCGAGAGAAATCCAGGAATACAGGACGGGAACACAGCTCAGGAAAGTGACCAGGGGATTACAGGCTGATATCACCCAGTCCCCCGCCCTACTCTGGACCAATCAGTGAGCAGTATGGGTGGAGGAATGGATTTAGTGTTCATGACCCACCTGTGCTGATCTCTGTAGGAGTGTCCTCCTCTATAAATGTCCCCGTTATTCCATCCTCCTCCATAGACTGCTGATCATCCCTCACATACGCCTCTTCTTCTGCTTTTACCTCAAATTCTATATCGATTGGATCTCCACTCTAAATCCAGGAAATGAGAGAAAATATCATCTGTAAAATGTAAGATTTATGATTGTGACATCACATATAAAATCCACACATTGTCTCCACAAGTCCATGTTCTAGATTCTCCATCCCACCAACCTTGTAAATAGTGAGGGATGGTGTGACCTTCCTGTGTGGAATCCCGGGAATACAGAGGACGGGGACATCTCTCTGGTGGGTTCCCATGACTGGATCCATCTGTAGGAAACACACACACTGACTGAATTCCAATTGTTTCTATGTGTTTATCAGATGATGGGGGATCTAGGTGGATCCTCCGTACTGCTCTCTCCTTTACAATAAAGTCTCCTCTTACCCGGTGATGTGAGGGGCGGCTGATTGTCCATCATGACGTCCTTGTAGAGATCCTTGTGTCCTTCTAAATACTCCCACTCCTCCATGGAGAAAATAGACAGTGACACCCTGACACCTTATAGGAACCTGACACACACAATGATACAGTCACCATCCAGACACATCCCTTGTCTGTTACTGGAGAATGTCCCAGAATTCCCGGCACAGGTTGCCGCTCCACCTCTCCTGTCAGCAGCTCAGTGATCTCTCTGGTGACTTCTAGAATCTTCTTCTTCTCTTTCTCTCTTCTATCAGGGAGGGAGGTGGAGGCAATGTGATGTCATATGATCTCCAGACTTCACAGGAGGAAAACTCTACATCTGAACACAAATAGTCACATCAAATGATATTCCCAGAATCCTCCTCACCTCTCCATTCAGGTCTCCATTTTATTAAAGCCCCACTTCAGGCTGAGGTATAATTTCCCCCACAGGACCCCCACACTACGCAGGGTATAGGCTTGTGAGGTCAGTGTGATGTCATAGGATTCTCTGACTCTGGATGGAGGGACATTGGGGGGAGGAGCTGTGAGGGTCAGTGTGATGTCATAGGATTCTCTGACTCTGGATGGAGGGACATTGGGGAGGAGGAGCTGTGAGGTCAGTGTGATGTCATAGGATTCTCTGACTCCGGATGGAGGGACATTGGGGGAGGAGCTGTGAGATCACTGTGATGTCATAGGATTCTCTGACTCTGGATGGAGCTCTCTGGATGGAGGGACATTGGGAGGAGGAGCTGTGAGGTCAGTGTGATGTCATAGGATTCTCTGACTCTGGATGGAGGGACATTGGGGGAGGAGCAGTGAGGTCAGTGTGATGTCATAGGATCTCTCTGACTTCGGTTGGAGGGACATTGTGAGGAGGAGCTGTGAGGTCAGTGTGATGTCATAGGATTCTCTGACTCTGGTTGGAAGGACATTGGGAGGAGGAGCTGTGGGGGACGCTCTGTGAGGTTTCTGTACATTGCTCCAGGTGCATCCCACCTCTCCAAACATGAAAGATGACCTTTGTCTTTGGGCTTTACCAGGACTCATCATATTTCTCAGATCTCCATGTACTCCGGAGACTTTACTGATCACATTGTAGGATGAATATCTGTGACTGGGATCATTATGGAGAAATATGCTTTCAGACATTATTATTATTATACAGGATTTATGGCGCCAACAGTTTGCTCAGCACTTTACAATATAACGGGAGACAATAAAGCAACAATACAGTTCAATACAAGAGGGATAGGAGGGCCTGATCCTGGAGCTTACAATCTAGGAGGGAGGGGCTAGTGGTACAAAAGATAGTAACTGTGGGGGATGGACTGGGTTGGAAGAGTAGAAGATTCCATTATTAGCTGAGGGCAGGATAGGCTTCCCTGAAGAGAGAGGTTTTCAGAGATTGCCTAAAAGTGAGCAGAGTAGGCGATAGTCTGATAAAATGGGGTAAAGAGTTCCAGAGGATGGGGGGAAGCTCTTGAGAAGTTCTAGAGGTGAGCATGAGGGAGGAGGGGACAAGGGAGCTAGAGAGCAGGATGTCATGGGAGGAGCGGAGAGGATGGTTTGGGTGATAATTAGAGACAAGATTGGAGTTACAATAGTCAAGGTGAGATAAAACAATGGAGTGAATAGGTTGCTTTGTGGTTTTCTGAGGTTAGGAACGGGCGTATCTTGGAGATGTTGCGGAAATGAAGTCTACAAGATTTGGACAGTGATTGGATTTGGGGGTGAAAGGACAGATGGGAGTCTAGGATAACACCTAATACCCTGGCATGAGGGGAGGGACTGATGGTTGTGTTATTGGTCTTGATGGAGAAGTCAGGGGAGGGGGCACGGGCTGGGGGAATACTTAAGAGCTCAGTTTTGGAAAGATTGAGTTTGAGGAAGTGGAGTGACATCCATGCCGATATGTCACTCAGTAGGATAGTAATGCGAGAAAAGACTGAAGGGGGCGAGGTGAGGAGGAGACTGAAGGGGTTAGGTGAGGAGGAGACTGAAGGGGTGAGATGAGGAGACTGAAGGGGTGAGGTGAGGAGGAGACTGAAGGGGTGAGGTGAGGAGGAGACTGAAGGGGTGAGGTGAGGAGGAGACTGAAGGGGTGAGGAGACTGAAGGGGTGAGGTGAGGAGGAGACTGAAGGGTGTGAGGTGAGGGGGTAGAAAGATAGATTTGTGTGTCATCAGCATAGAGATGGTACTTAAAGTCATGGGAGTTTTTTTAAGTGACCAAAGGAGGAGGTGTAGATGGAGAAGAGAAGGGGTCCAAGGACAAAACCTTGAAGGAACCCTACAGAGAGAGGGAGTAGAGAGGAGGAGCCAGAGTTATAGGTAATGCTGAAGAAGCGCTGTGATAGGTAGGAGAGGAGAACCAGAAGAGAGCAGAGTCTCGGAGGCCAAGAGAGTGGAGTTTTTTTGAGGAGGGGATGGTCAACGGCATCAAAAGCCACAGAGAACTCAAGCAGTAAGAGTACAAAGTAGTGACCATTGGTTGGGATGAGTACGGAGTTAGTGGCCATTGGTTGGGATGAGTACGGAGTAGTGGCCATTGGTTTGGATTAGTACGGAGTAGTGGCCATTGGTTGGATTGAATATGGATTAGTGGTCATTGGTTGGGATGAGTACAGAGTAGTGACCATTGGTTGGGATGAGTATGGATTAGTGGTCATTGGTTGGGATGAGTACGGAGTAGTGGCCATTGGTTGGGATGAGTACGGAGTAGTGACCATTGGTTGGGATCAGTACAGAGTAGTGGCCATTGGTTTTAGCAGTTAGTAGATCATTAGTGAGGTTTAGTAGGGCAGTTTCAGTGGAGTGTGTAGAGAGCAAAAGCCAGACTGTAAAGGGTGAAGGTTGTTGTCGGTGAGGTGGGAGGAGCTCAGGGGATTGTAGACTAAACGTTCTAGGAGTTTAGAGGTAAATGGCAGCAGGGAGATGGGTCTTAAGTTGTTCAGGTTGGTGGGGTCCAGTTAGGGCTTGTTAAGTATGGGAGTGATGTGCGCATGCTTTAGAGGGGAGGGGAAGGCACCAGTAGAGAGGGAAAGATTGAAGATGTGAGTGAGGGAGCATAGGATGGAACAAGAGGGTGACTGTAGTAGTTGTGAGGGGACAGGATCCAGGGGGCAGGTAGTGAGACGGGCTTCTGAGAAAACCTTAGTGACATCTTCTGTAGTAGCGAGGTCAGAAGAGGAAAGTGTTGAGGGAGGTTTAGTATAAGGTATGCTAAGTGGGATGGATGTCTGTGTAGTGGAGATGTCCCTACAAATTGTATCAATCTTGTTTTTGAAATGATTTGCAATCGCATGAGCAGTGAGTGAGGTACTGGGTGGAGGTGGAGAAAGTAGAGAGTTAAAAGTAGAGAAGAAAGATGAGGACTGGATGACAAACTATTGATGAGACTGACAAAGTAGGCTTGTTTGGCAGCATGGAGGGAGGAATTTGTATGTCTCTTAACCACTTCCAGTCCGGACACTTTCACCCCCTTCCAGTCCAGGCCAATTTTCAGCTTTCAGCGCTATCACACTTTGAATGACAATTGCGCGGTCATGCAACACTGTGCCCATATTAATTTTTTAACATTTTTTTGAGACAGATAAA